AAACCCTAAATCCAAAACCCTCAACCCTAAACCCTCTAGCCTACATCCTTATCCCTGCAGAAAGCTGGGGTCCAAGGCTTGGTGGAGCTGAGCATTCGAAAGCAGGTGTTTGCCACTGTGCAGAGGCCTGCGTCGTGCAAGGATGCGGGTTCAGGGTTTAGGGTTTAGGTTTGGGGTTTAGGGTTGAGGGCTTAGGGTTTAGGGTTTGAGGGAAAATGCTCCTTGGTTTCAAAAGTTCGGGGGGGGGGGGCGGGGGGCGGGGGGGGGGGCAGCGCAAGACATCTAAGGGTGAGATAACCCAAGGCCCTGAAACGACCTGTAACATGTAGGTTGCTTAGTGTTGCACGATATAGGGCCCCTGAGAAGCCCACTCAGCCTCTGTACTCTGCGCCAGGCGAAAGGCCAGGCCGAAAGGAGACCTCGACGTGGATCCGGTAGACGTTGCAGCTCGGACTCGAAGTAGCTGTATATAGTTAGACATTGTTATATGTAGTTACATATAGTTATACATATATAGAGTTATATATGGTTATAGATATAGTTGTACATAGTTATATATAGAGTTCTACATAGTTATACATAGTTATATAGAGGTATATATACTTGTATATAGTTAGATATAGTTAGATATAGCTATATATAGTTATATATGGCTAAATATAGCTAAGTATAGTTTGATATAGTTCTATATAGTTTTACATAGTTATATGTAGCTATTTCTAGTTACGTATAGGAACATATAGTCACATATAGGAACATATAGTCATATATAGTTGTATATGGTTACATAGAGTTCTGTTATATATAGTTACTTATAGTCATACTGATGAGAGCATGTTGTGATGTCGCTGTGGGGTTTCTTGACAGCTTTCGACACCCAGCTTAGGTTATAGGTTTTTCAAGGGAGGGGGGAGTTCAAGGGGGGTACCTAGGGAACCTTAGAGATGCTTAGGGAGCCTTAGGGAGTATTAGGGAGTAGTGGGGAGTTTTAGGGAACCTTGGGCTACATACCTCCCTTAAACCCTTAACCCTAAACCCTGACCCTAAACCCCCTTGAACCCCCCTCTTAAGAACCCTAGAAGCTTAGGCAGAGCAACTCTTGGACCGAGTGCTCTTCAACATCCAGGCCTTGGAACCTGCAGCAACCGAACCCCAAACCCCAAACCCCAAACCCCAAACCCTCAACCCTAAACCCTAAACCCCAAACCCCACTTCGCACCGGGCCGGCACGCCCGCGTGGCTCCTCAACGACGTAGTCGTGAGCTTCAACAAGTTTGTGGGGTGCTTCTTGCTGGAAGTGCAGACACACTCTAAGTTTAGCTTCTTTTAGGGCAGAGAAGTTGCTTTAAGGGTTTTGCAGTGCACTCCAAAAACCAGGGTTCTACTAGACTGGGGCATGGCAAGTCAACATCATGTGCTTGAGCAGCTTGGCAGTAGTAGTGCAGAGCCTATTTGGTCTGTATGCAGGCCACGGGGTCATGGCATTACTACCAGTCTGAGCAGTGCTTGGGAGGCCCTGGCGAAAATCTTCAAGCGCTGCGTCTGACACTTAGTGCCACTGTACAATGTTGGAGCTTCAAGCCCACAGCCGTCTGGGTTTTTGACCAGATGCAGCCCTGAATCCATGTGTGGTGTTGATGGACAGTACTGAAGAAGGCAGGAAGAGTTCCCACTCAAGCCTGAGAACCTTCTCAGGTGCATCGAGGTGTGTTCCGCCATCAGTTTACAAAGGGAAAGGGCGATGAGGTGCTGAAGGAGGAGCCGGAGCACGCAGCTGAGCATGACATTTGGGTCCAGCGCGCTGCGTGTCTTTGGCGAACAGGCTCGCTGTGCTGGGTCTGGCTGTGCTGGTGTGGTTTTCGGAAAAGCGGTCTCTAAAAGATCAGCAACATGGCCTGAGTTTGGTGGCATTAAATCGGGCTGGACACCTCTTCCTTCCCGACCCGATGTTGCCGTGGACTTGGTGTAGTGGGGCTCTTGACAAGGTCCCTGAAAGTCTGCGAAGACATCAAGGACTGGGCTCTTTCAAGAGTGCGCTTCGCCAGCGCAGGTGGAAGTCGTTAAGCCAAGTTCGGGTTTAGGGTTCAGGGTTCAGGGTTTGGGGTTTGGGGTTTGAGGTTTAGGAGTCACGGAAGACCCGTCGTGCCAGCTGACGTCAAGAGTCTGGGTTCAAACGAGGAAGTCATGGAAGGTCAGGGACGGCAAAGGAAAGGCTCCCTGGACCCTTAGGCCCCTAAACCCTGCACTCGAGTGAAAGCCTTGAGGGGCAAGCAGCGTCAGTAACCATCATTATTTTCATTTATTTTCAATAATCATGAAAAAACCGACCAAACATATCCAGTAGTACTCAGAAATAAGAATCAAAGAGATCGAAAATATTCAGATATAACCTGAACTAGCAAGAACACTGCAGCAGCAATCAGAATCAATAATCTGGTCATTTGACGGCGCTGCAGGCTCCATGCAAGATGCCAAAATCTATGAGTTATCAGGCGAAGCAACAGAATGGAGTTGGACTAGCACAAGCGGAGACGTAGAAAGCAACAAAAAAAGTTGGCTGCTCATGCGCGTTTTCCTGCTACCTGTGCTTCCATTGCAAGACATCTTCGGCTGAACTTGGCAGGACTTATGGCTCTTGCAAGAAGTATCCATATTGTGTCATTCCCAGATGTTGTTCATTTTGGGGGTTCCTTGTTTCGTTTTCATGGGGCGTGGTCACCAGTTGCTCGTTCGGTTAGTGTTCGCTTGTGTGTGGGTGTCCGCGCACGCGCACAAAGCGTCAGGACTTCACCTGCCAAATGCTGCACAAGATGTCCGCATCTCAGCACCCTATCCCAAGGTGATGCTTGCTTGCAATACCAGACCCAACCAGCATGGAGTTCAAGTAGTAAACATGAGCATACGTCATTCAGCTGAATCGCTGTCCATGGAACATCGGAAAGATACACCGGCAGTAGAAAGACATCCTAGATTCCTAGCAAAATTATGGTCCCTTTTTTGGATCCCTATGATAAGACTGCACCGAATATTTAGGGTACCCCAAAAGGGATCATAATTTTGACAACCGCACAGATGGATCATGGCCAGGAGGTATTCGCACGTCTCCCTCGCCTCGTCAAAAGTGAGGCTTCTCAAGAACCCCCCCCCCGGACTACAACCATCGTCGTTGGAATAGTATCGTGGTATCAGAATAGAAGAATACATTGAAACAATAAGAACAATACTGCAATCAACATAGTAAAATTAAAATGCACTATAACATCATACAATATAATATCATATCATGTCATATAATAACATTATATATAATGTACAACAACCGATGTGTAGGAACATGTAGGCGGACGTGGGCCCGGCCCTCCAAGGCTGATGACACACATGTCCAAGCCCGAGCCTAAGATGGATGTGGCTTAGGGTTTAGGTTTAGGGTTTAGGGTTTAAGGTTTAAGGTTTAGGGTTTAGGGTTTAGGGTTTAGGGCTTAGGGTGTGGGCGTTTTCCAAAAAAAAGGACCCCTATAATCAACCCCCAACTAGTAGGATTCCCTCATAATAAGGCCCCCAATAAGGTACTCCGAATTTCGGAAACCCCCATGTGGCTTAGGGTTTTACGGTTTAGGGTTTAGGGTGGATCTGCCAGCTTCGATTGTCCTAGGGCAGCAGGGGGTAAACTGCGGACAAGTTCACCCCTTGAAACTCTAAACCCTAAACCCCAAACCCCAAACCCCAAACCCTAAACCCTAAACCCTAAACCCTAAACCCTAAACCCTAAACCCTTGCTCAGGAGTGAGCTGGAGGAGTTCAAGCCCGGGCCTCGCGCATCGCTTGGCAGATGCCAATGGATCTTAGCAGATATTGGGGTTTAGGGTTTAGGGTTTAGGGTTAGGGCTTAGGGTTTAGGGTTTAGGGTTTAGGGTTTTGGGGTTTGGGGTTTAGGGTTTTGCGGACAACTGCCGACGCTCACTTTACTGCGCTGTGCATGCTTTGCCCTTGGAGGGCTGCTTGGTTCTTGACCCATGGGACCACATAATCTGCACAGGTGTGTGTGTGTGTGTATGCATACATCTATACTCACGCATGTATATAAATATACATATAGGCACGGAATAGAACATATGTATGGCGACAGAATCTTTGAACATCTGTAGGGTAGGTAGGTGAGGCGGCCCTGAATCTGGGCAGGTGAGAAAAAAAGCCTTAAACCCTAAACCCTCAACCTGATTGACAGCGTGCCTCGCCTGGATTCTCCAAGTATGAACAGTTAAACCCTAAACCCTAAACCCTAAACCCTAAACCCTTGAGAGTCGAAACCCTAAACCCTAAACTCTAAACCCAAAGCCGCTGGGCTCTCAAGAAGCAGATTTTGGTGGACGAAAGGTCTGGGCGCGGCCGGCAGGATGAGGCAAGCGCTTGGGAAGTTTTGAGGGTTTAGGGTCTTTAGGGTTTATAGGGTTTATAGGGTTTATAGGGTTTATAGGGTTTATAGGGTTCATAGGGTTTATAGGGTTCATAGGGTTTAGGGGTTTAGGGTTTAGGGTGCCAGTCACAGGCAAGCTACCCAAGGAGACCTGAGGCAAAAAGGGGGGTTGGGGCTTGAGGGTTTAAATAGGGCTCGTGGCCTTCTTAGCAGGCCTCTTGAGTAGAGATTTGGGCATTTCGCCTTGGAAACCCCTGGAGAAATACCGAAGGGCACAACTCTATTCTCGGAAACCCTCAAATGGGAGTGAAACCCGAAGGTTTGGGAAGATGCCTTCTTGCACTGTGGATTGTGCTTGCCGCCGCCGATCTTGGCTTCGGTAAAGAAGGGTGCGCAATTAGGAAGAACAGGAACTCGGCAAGCGCGATGGAAGGGGGTCTGCACCTTGCCACCCCCAAAATCTTGGACCTCCTTTCATGGGATGAGCATTTAGGGTTTAGAATTTAAGGGTTTAGGGTGGGGGTTTAGGGTTTAAGGGCTTGAGGGGGGGTATTTGGGGATTTTCCGATCACGGATGGATCCAGCCATGGAGTCACAACCCCAGACAGAGAGCTCTGGGAAAGCGCGGCCCACGCGGCACGACTGGCCCCCTAGGGCCCTGCGGTCGAACAAGAAGCCGCTTAGGCTGCAGTAGCCGCTCTGGGTCTTGTCTTCGGGTAGCTATAAGGGACCATATTAAGGGTTATTAAGGGCCAGAGAACTACCCTTAGATCTTGTGATGAGTTGTTGAAATGTTGCTGGCATTTCGTGGGTTTGTGTTGGTTGCATGTGGGCTTGGGCCTTGAAGCCAAGAGGGTCGTACTTGAAGAAGAGCCTTAGGAGCTGGGAATCCTGAGCACAGGCAAAGCCCGACTGCTTTGGCACGAGCGACGAGCTACATGCGGCAACTGTGGTCGCCACTCCGCCTTCCTAACCCTAAACCCTGAACCCTAAACCCTAAACCCTAAACCCTAAACCCTAAGCCCTAAACCCTAAACCCTTCTGAGTTGCGCATGCCCTGCAAAAGCCAGGGCTTGGCATGGGCTTGGGGCCTTCGACCAAGCTAGGGCTCTCATGAAGCTTTAATGAAGCACGGGGAACCTGCTGGTGCGCCTGTGCCGATGCGATGTCTGCGCTCATGAATCTCGTTGTCTTGTGGTCGCTGCAAGCCATGCTTTTGACTGAGTGTCCCCGCAAAGGAATGGCATCATCTTCCAAGCGGTGGGAATTCCCCTGCGACACCTGCTTGCATTCTACGGCCTCCGGCTCTGCCTCAGTGGACAGGTGCTCAGGACGTGGACTCTTTTTGTGACGAAGCAGCACGCACCATGCAGCGTGCAGCAGCATGCAGCAGCATGCAGCAGCATGCAGGTGCCCTGGCGTACGGGCCTCTTGGCTTTGGCTCTCTGGCCCATTAGCGGCTTCGGCGTCACCGCAGGCGTACACAGGCTGCGGGGCGGCCCAGGAGTGAGTTGAGACTAAGGCCGCCAAGGCCCAGGTGTTCAGCCTGGTAACTTGGTGAAGCTGTCATTTGTCCCCTCATTCAAATTTCCGAGGTGGACGCACCAGTCCTACGTGGCATCCCCTATGTTAGAGGCTCTGGATGCTCTGGTTGAAGCTTTTGAAGCGGTCCGAGAAGTCGATTCTTTCCAGGCGATGCTGATGCTCATGTTTTCCATGGCGGATCAAGGCCCCATCCAGGGTTGGGCTCTGACGCAGCTTGGCTTTCACATCTATGGGGTTCCCGAAAAGTCTCTGCTTGGTGTCTTGCAATCCTTACCTGAGAGAGCGCGTCTGCGGCGCGTCTGCCTTTAAAAGAAAGGCATGCCATGCACCACGTTGCCAGCGACACGCGCTGTGATCCACATGACCGGAACGCGGGCTTCTGGCACCCCGGCAGCGGTGCTGTAGTAGTGGGAAGTTGCCTTGCCATGTGAACGTGCGCACACGGAACAATGACTGTCACAAGGAAGCGCATCGCTTTGAAGCATTACCCACCAGACCCATTTTTCAAAGTGGGTAGCACTGAAGATGCTAAACCCCTAAACCCGAAACCCTAAACCCGAAACCCTAAACCCTAAACCCTAAACCCTAAAACTACAGTGGCCTCCATGGTACGTAAGAAGAGGTACGCGCACGTGGGCTGGCTGTTCTCTGCGACGAAGTTTCGGCTGGCCACCAGGGAGCCCCTCTGATTGCATGTATTCGGAGTGCAGTTTAGGGGTTTAGGGGTTTAGGGGTTAGGGGTTTAGGCTTTAGGGTTTAGGGTTTAGGGGTGTGTCCGGAGTGTCGGTAGCTTGTGGTAAGTTCTGAGCAGAGCTCAAGTTGAGTTTTGCGCTTCAAAACATCTGAGAGCGCCTCGCAGTCACTGCATTGCCCTAAACCCTAAACCCTAAACCCTAAACCCTAAACCCTAAACCCTAAACCCTAAACCCTAAACCCTAAACCCTAAACCCTAAACCCTAAACCCTAAACCCTAAACCCTAAACCCTAAACCCTAAACCTAACCCTAAACCCTAAACCCTAAACCCTAAACCCTAAACCCTAAACCCTAAACCCTAAACCCTAAACCCTAAACCCTAAACCCTAAACCCTAAACCCTAACCCTAAACCCTAAACCCTAAACCCTTTTTTTAGGGTTCGTGACATCCTCTGTCCAACTTCAAACCATGCCAGGCCCTAAGCCCAAGGGTGCGTTTACACTGCTACACTGCATGCTGCACCTTGATTGCCACTCGAATCCTGCTAAAAACATAGGAGATTTGGAAGGGTTCAGGGTTTAGGGTTTAGGGGTTTTAGGGGTTTTAGGGGTTTTAGGGTTCAAGGTTTAGGGTTTAGGGTTTCGGGTTTAGGGTTTAGGGACCTTCAGAAGCCTACACCGGCTCGTAGCCTTTCAGCTGAGATATCGGCGGGTTGTGGAAAATTTCGGCCCGACCGTGAAGTTTCACGATGCGCTGCTCGGCGACCGTGCGGTGGACTCTTTCGGTTGTTATGGGTTTGGCTCGGAATGCGTAGGCCGTTCTGTTTTCAAGCACCAGGTATCCTGGGCGCTTCCCTCGAACCCTGAGCGAAGACCATGCGGCCACATCAAATTGAGGTGTTCGCTATGGTGGGACCCCCTCTGGTCCCATGGGGTGCCAGCCGCATTGGCAGCGCTCTGGGGGGATGTTCGGGGCGGCCTCTTCGTGGCAGGCGCTGCAGTTTGCGAGTCGAAGGCTATGGAATCCGGGATGTGCAGGAAATTTGCTTGGGAGATTCGCACGAGAGCTGTCAGGCGCCCTCCGCTGGATGATCGTTCAGCACATCACCTTCGCAGTGAACTCTCTGGCGCATGGAGAGCAGGAGACAGGGTCAGCAGATACGGTCTTGTGCACAAAGTTTGTGACATCCAGATCCACCACAAGAGCAGGGAGAATCACCCTAAACCCTAAGCCCTAAACCCTAAACCCTGAACCCTAAACCCTAAACCCTAAACCCTAAGCCCTAAACCCTAAACCCTAAGCCCTAGACCTCGCATGGGCCCGCAAGGACGGGAACGCCTACGCGTTCGATCCTAAGGCTTTCGGCATCGGGCCCAAGGTGCCTTGTGTCGGCTTTTCTTAGTCATTAGAGTCTCTTTATTATTATTATTATTATGATTATTATGATTATTATTGTTATTATTATTACGGTTGTCAGTCAGTACTGTTGGCTTTCTTCTGGTTATTGCTGTTGTTCTTGTCTTCTTGTTTCTGTAGTGTTTTCTGACGCGAAGATCAGTGCGCATCAGCATGTCAGCATATCAAATCTTTCTTGTTCGCATCATATCCGAAAGTAATTAATATGTTCGTATCTACATTTTCATAGAATCTACACGTATACATATGCCGTATATACCATGGCATCAGTTTTTGCATGTCCTGGCATTGTGTCAGATCAGGGTCCTTCGCTCTTCAGGTGAGCGTGCTCGTTTCTCTGCTGGCGCTGGGCGAGGGCTGGCACGACTACCATCACCTCTTTCCGTGGGACTACGCAGCAGCGGATCCCCTCTCCCCCCAAGAAAGCAGGGAGTCGTGCAGGGGGTTGCTTCTCGTCAGTTTGGTCAGTTTGGTGGTTTTTTGTACACTAGTCTGCCCTGTGATGTAGAGATATGCAGAGTGTGAAGTGAGGGACATGCTCCTACACCATGCTTGAAGGGATGTAACCACGAACATGAGTTACATACCGGGTGTGCTAGCACGCAGGAGCTGGATGCCTGGGACCAGTACAACCCAACGAAGGCCGGGAAGTAGGTATTTCCCAAAGGGGTACCCTGATATCATCCTAATTGCAGGAACCTCCAAAAAGGTACCCCTATTTGGGGAACACCCCCACCCCCCACCCACCCCCGAATTGCCGCATGTTCCATGTTGGAACATGCTTCCCCTTGCGTCCTTACACGTTCAGGCATCACATGGCTTCTGTGCATGGGAAAGAAGAGGCCTTTGGCTGTGTGGTGTAGGAAGCGGCTTCCGCCTGCCGAGGTTTTCATCGATGGATGCTGCTTGCTTGGCTTAGCCAAGGACTCCGGAGAGCAATTTATCGGGTCAGAAGAAGTTGGGCTCCCCCATTTAGGGATCCAGGTCCAAGCCCGCGAGCTACACATGAACCAAGTATGTCTACGAAGCATGCTGAACACCGAGCAGAACTACAGACATCTGCGGGCCACAGGAGCTGAATTCTGCAGCATTCTCCCCCTGTTCTTCGTAGGGGCATGAGGGAATTAGGGCCCTACATCTACCCTGTAATGGAGTACGGAGGTACCTCATTCAGTCATTCCCTACTAAGAACCAGTTCTGCAGGGTCTTGGTTCCTTCTGAGGACCGGCGGCGGTGTTCTCGACGACTGCAGGAAATGGGGGCGTGGCTTCACATCGGCCCATTGAACCCCTGAATTAGGGTTTAGGGTTAGGGTTCAGGGTTCAGGGTTTAGGGCAAGGAGTCCAGTTGCAAAAGGGTTGAGGGTTTAGGGAACAGGGAACCACGGCAGCTTGAAGAGGACCTGAGACGATCGCAGCTCCTTGCCGGCTCCGTGGAAGGCGAAGAGTTGGAGTTCGAGACCTGATAGCAACCTTCAGCACACCCTAAACCCTAACCCTAAACCCTAAACCCTACAACCCTAAACCCTAAAACCCTAAACCCTAAAGCCCGAAAAACCCTAAACCCAAAAGATACGATGTACCAGAATACTGTAAGACCTGACATGGGAGTCCCGAAAGCATGGTACGGTCTCTCTGGAGGACCCTCAGCCCTAAATCCTATACTCCCTATATCCCGCACGCCTTCAACTAAGGCTGTGGTTCTTAGTAGGGAATGAGGAAAAATGATGGTACCCTCTGTACCCACTTAAAGGGTCTATAAACATAAAAACAAATATAAATTATAAACAGAGAGAGAGATATATATATATATATAACCCCTATAATTCCCTCATTTTCTACGAAGAGCCTGGGAGACTAAGGAGGTGGTTGGCCTTCCTTTCCTGCGCTACAAGCGGCCTCTGAGCCTGATGCCGCGTGAGACGAAGTAATTCGGAAGGCGAAATGCTCGAGTTGACTTACCAGCATGGTGCTGGTCTCGTATGCTGAGTACCGGTACCGAAAGCCCACCCCTCTTTTTTAGAGCCCAGAATTGCTGACGTCACATGGTATCGCCATTTGAGGGATAGAAGCCCTAAACCCTAAACCCTAAACCCTAAACCCTAAACCCCAAACCCTAAACCCTAAACCCTAAACCCTAAATCCTAATTATATGACATGGGAATTGTCTGGGGATCCCTGGGACTGTCTGGGACCTGGAGCAGCTCGAACATCTTCTCCCTAGGCCCAGTGCAGGGTTGCAAGTCCCGCGCATGACGTGGCTGGGTTACCCTAGGGTTTAGGGTTTAGGGTTTATAGGGTTTAGGGTTTAGGGTTTAGGGTTTAGGGTTTAGGGTTTAGGGTTTAGGGTGAGAAGGGCGTCTGGCTTTGCAGAGTCATCGACGTTCGTCGTTCTTGATCCTTCCCCTACGACTTTCCAATGGGAAATCCCGCTCAGCCCCTGGCCTCGTTCGCAAGCATGTGCGCGCTGGTGCAAAAGTTTAGGGGTAGAAGGAGGAGCCCCTCGAAGGGACCCTTAATCTTATTCCCCAAGTAACCCCCAAAAAAGCCCTAAGGTCCCTTATAAGGGTCCCTCCCTTAGTCCCTTGAGAAGAAATGTCAGCCCACTTCAGCTTCAGGAGCTCTGTGTGCAGCCTCAGGAGTGGGTTAGCATTCTATTTGCGAACGTCCAGGCAATGGCAGGTCTGGCCGCGGACATGTCCAGCGATCTCTACATGGCTGGGTCGCCTAGGAGGGCTGTGCGAAGAGCGTCTTGCAGCCCAACTCTCCCGGGTGAGCACAAGTGTTGCCGACGACTCGTCTAGCAGTGTAGGGGTTTACGCTTGAAACTTGAAAACTCCCTGAGCCCAACTGAGGGATGAATCTGTCTAGCCAAAGTTCCATCTTCGCTCTGCTAAGTCTCACCTCACCTTGGAGAAGACCACCGTGAGCATGTCCACCCTGGCGAGATGCTCAGTAACCAGTGCAGTAGACTCAGTAGATCTGCATCGAACCACATCAGTTTCGGCGCAAAAACCAGCGTTTGCCTGTATGCTTAGGAGTTTAGGGATCGGAGGCGTTGCGCCTGTAGTTGGTAATGGTGGTAATGGTATGGCGACTGCAGAGATCCGATCTTTCGCAGCCTAGTCCCGGGCTTAGGATATGCTTGAGATGGCCAACTTGCTGTGGAGGCGCAAAGTTCAGTGCTTCTCAGTGTCTCTACAGTGTAGCTTCCAGGGAAGCTTCATATACTTTGTATCTGCCCCATAATGCGAAGAACCCAGAACACATCATCATGCTCTCCGAAGGCAGCAGAACGAGCTTATCGCACCTGGCGACACGAAGGTTCCGAGTGGCGCTTTGCAGCTTCTGAAAACCTCGGGTCAGATCTTTATCACGAATGTGGGTGCACAGGCTGCTGAAATCCTCAACAAGACTTGGCTTGACAAGCCAAAAATGCAGTATAAATCTTATGCCCCTCCCAGAAAAGAAGGAAAGCCAAATTCGAAGGATCAGCTCAGACGGGTCCTTGAACAAGTGATGCGAAAGCGGGAGCCCGAACCTCAGGTTTCTCTGCACACAGCGCATGAGACTTCACAAGGGCTTGTAAAAAGGGTGTATACTTGTTTGCAAGGGCGTACGTGTGTTTATAAGTCTGATACGGTTCTACTAAGGATGTATAAGAGTCTCCGTGGGGTCGGTTTCTTGGCAATTTGCAGGTGCGCTGGCAGTTCGACTCTGCCTTACGTTGGTAGACGGAATCATGATTTCTATATCCCCCTTGGGAATTATTTTTTGTTTATATAAAACCCAAGAGGATATTAAGCTTATTATTGTTATTAAGGTTCTAAGGGGAGTATAGGTTTCGAGTAAAGGTCCTCAGCTTGCAGTCGCTTTCACTCGGCTCAGCGACAAAATGAGATGTACCGTAACGTCTCGCGCTCTTCGGGTTCGCTCTCCGTCGACTGTGCCCCCTTGTTCGGAGCTGTTTTTTTGCAAAGGCTGGTTCATAGAATAGGGTTTAGGGTTTAGGGTTTAGGGTTTAGGGTTTAGGGTTTAGGGTTTAGGGTTTAGGGTTTAGGGTTTAGGGTTTAGGGTTTAGGGGATGGCCACTTGGCTTGCAGATGTCATGAAAGTGTGGCAAGCGGCATGCTGGAATCTCGTAGCTTGATGTGCAGGGTAGCCGCTGGGAAGAACTTCACAGAGGCACCGCCCACGCCCTTCAGAACTTTTTAGCTTTCGCACATGGGGTCGCATGAGTGGGCACTTGACAACTCTGTGAGCACACCCTGCAGTGCGAACCAGCCAGTTAGGTGACAAAGAAAACTTAAAGCCCAAAGCCCTAAAGCCCCTACACCCAAACCCCCTTAAACCAGGAGATACAAGAATACCATCCAGATGGGCACCTCTGGCGCAGACCTGAGAGCGAGCAAAGTAGCTGAGCATGTGCACGTTAGGCGCGCTTCAATGTTTGGAGAAAGAGTCGCCCCAAACGATGGTTCGGTATTCCGGAGCCTCGGCCTGGACACTCCAACTAGCGCACAGAAGCTCAGAAGCACACCCCCCACCCCCCCCCGCACGCCCCAGGCTCGCACAAAAGCATGGGGAGTGGCATAACCTTCGGCCCAGAGCGAGGCGCGCTTTGCTTCTGGCGGACCCAAGTCGGGTAGAATTTCCCTCTGAAAGCACTGCTGCGAGGTTTCTGGAGTACCTAAGAGGTCCGGGTTTCGAACCCACCTTCTGCAACGAGTCCAAGGTGGGCCTGGGCGAATGCTTCTGCTGAGGTATGCATATGGATATGTTGAGAGACGTTTATATACACATATATAAACTGGAAAATCATTGTCACAAAAAAAAGGAACAGTATATATATATATATATATATATGTGGATAGAGGTTCCAAATGCATCGTGTACATGCCTACACAGACATGCCTTTGGTGCCTTCACACCCCATACAGCCACTGGAGATCTGCAGGTTCGTGTGCAAGGCTTTACTACAAACCACACTGACAGTCCCGTTTTGCCCTGAATCTCAATTGCCAGGCACCTATGCCACGGTGCTTGACTTCGGACCGGCTGTCTTGACTGAAAGTTGATGGCCTGGCTTCGCCAACCAATGTCTGAGAACCATAGCAATCATAGCAGACCCCTGACACATGGTGACCTGAATGGTCGTTAGACTGTTGAACCTTGACGCGCCAATATTCTCGAAGAATTCTCGACCGATCATACACGGCTTGTCGAAACTTGGCCCTGACTGAACGCAGGAAGCTCAACGGGCCCAGAAGGACCTTTCCCTGATCAAGTTGTTCAGTGTGCCTGAGGAGGACGACTGGGGGCCGAGCTCGGTATAGGCGTGAATCTGGACAGGAGCAACAACAGCGGAAACTAAGCAAGCTATTTGTGAGCTGTCGTGCTATTCTTGCACGAGCGATTTTCAAACCTCAACACAAAAAAGTCCAACATCTGACAGCAGCGAGACTTATTGCAAATTGTCCGTGTCGCAGTAGGGTTTAGGGTTTAGGGACCCTAAACCCTACACCCTAAACCCTAAAGCCTAAGTTAAGTGTGCCTCAAGCTTGGACAATGCTTCTTCGTGACAAGGAGCGAGGGCCCGGTCCTCAATGCAGAAGCAACATATAGATGTATGTGTGCAAGATCATATGGGTGGTTGTCAAAATTAGCCCCGTTTGGGGTCCTGATTATAATTCGGCACCTAATATTTAGGGTGCCCCAAAAGGGATCATAATTTTGACAGCCACCCATATGATACCCATGTTACGTTGCTGGTAGCTGCTTGGGGTGTGTCAAAGCACCGCGAGGCCAATCTACACGACCCCGAAGGGTGAGAGGGTCTTCGTGCGACTTGGCGGTGAGGGTTTAGGGTTTAGGGTTTAGGGTTCAGGGTTTAGGGTTTACGGTTTAGGGTTTACGGTTTGAGTTTTGTTGGGGCAAGTTGTCCTGGACCCCCTCCTTCAGGCACAGCAAACTCACAACCGGAAGCCAGGCCGACATCCGCAGGGGAAGCCCTCGCAAGGTGAAGCCGTATCCCCTAAACCCTAAACCCTAAACCCTAAACCCTAAACCCTAAACCCTAAACCCTAAACCCTGATGCAACGAAGCAGGGAACGAAGCACCGAGCACCGAGCATGTGTGCCTCTCAAGGTTCGAAGCTCTGGAGGCCCCGGATGGATTTGGGAAGTTTCCCCACACATACATGCCAGTTTCTGGATGCGAGGGTTTAGGGTTTAGGGCCAGTTTAGGGGTTAGGGGAAGAAAGGGCTCAGGGGTTCGAGTCGTTTTGTGCTTGGATATGACACGCAGGAGCTGCTGCAGATTCTGGCAGGGAGCGCGCAGGCCAGGAACTCTGCGCCAGCCAGTGCTCCTTAACTCCAAGTTTCTAACTGTCATCTGCCAAGGAAGATTCCGACGTCAAGTACCAGATTCAGGGTCTTAAGCTTACAGTGATTCACAGATCATCCCCTCTTGAGTCCCACGCAAGAGAGGGTTCTGAGCCTGAGAGAACCAAGGCGATACCTTGGGAGAGTTGAGGACTCCGAAGCATGGGTTTAGGGTTTAGGGTTTAGGGTTTAGGTTAGGGTTAGCTTAGAGCGAGTGCCCAAACGCAACGCCTTGGGAGGAACAGCTTTCAAGAGATCCAGAAAGCGATGATGCAGGATCCGCGCACGGTTGTGTCTTATATTGTCAGGGGGACTTCGGTCGCATTCCTCGTTTAGGCGTGTCTGCCTGCCGGCCAAGAGTTTTTGGCTACAGTAAGCAGTGGCGGACGGGGGTTTGTTTGGGGCAAGCTCAAACATATGTTGACTTGACGTGGGTATGTATGGCATGGCTTGTTTATCTTTTGCTGGAACCAATCAAACTGGACCTGTCCACGGTTCAGAAATGAAGCTAGCAGCTATAAATTGTTTGTCATGCAAGACACACCTTC